CTGAGGATCACTTGAACACAAAAGTTCAAGAACTGCCTGAATAACATCCAAGACTCCATCTCTTTATTTTTTATTTTTATTTTTTTAAAGAGAGAGAGAGAGAGAATTTTTTTTTAATGTTTATTTTTTAGTTTTCGGCGGACACAACATCTTTGTTTGTATGTAGTGCTGAGGATCGAACCCGGACCGCACGCATGCCAGGCGAGTGCGCTACTGCTTGAGCCACATCCCCAGCCCAACTCCATCTCTTTAAAAAACAAACAACAACAAAAAAAAAAAAAAAAGAAAAGAAAAAGAAAAAGAAAGAAAGAAAACAGTAGGGCAGAGGGCATCAGGATGAAGTAGAGGTCTTCACTTGCTAGTTTTAATGTATTTTTTAAATTACCAGAACTTATCAGTAGTTGAAATGAGTCTTAAAAATGAGTTCTGACCTTTCCTCACTGAGATGGTTGCAAAAAAAGAGGAAGGGAGGGTTTTCCTAATGTCAGAGTATCCCATGTGGTCAGAGCTTGCTCATGTCCAGGTCATGCTACAACCTATAGTCAATATGTACAGCTGATGGGGCTGGGGATGTGGCTCAAGCGGTAGCGCACTCGCCTGGCATGCGTGCGGCCTGGGTTCGATCCTCAGCACCACATACAAACAAAGATGTTGTGTCCGCCAATAACTAAAAAATAAATATTAAAATTAATAAAATATATATGTACAGCTGACACCTGTTTCCAAGGCAACTGGCATTGCAGTGTCAGAAGCAGGAAAAACTGATTTTATATGCATATGGAGAAAGAAGTAAGGAAGGCATTAGACTGAAGAGGAGGGAACGAAGGGACACTATCTCTACATACCCTAGTTTTCTTAATCTCTTGGTTTCTAATTTAATAACTGAGGAGATTACTAATTGTTCCTTATCTGGACTAAGTGTACAAAGTGAATGTGCGTCCTAGAACAAGAATGATGTGGGGAGGGCTCTCAGTGCCCCTGTAATCAGAATAATTTGTGCCATGAAGTTTCCCTGAGAAAAGGGAATGTTTCTTCAACTAATTATTCTCTACAAAATACTTACTTCCTTTCCATCTCAGTGCCATCACTTCAGTTTAAGCCCTCAGCACTACATTCCTGGATATAACAATGGCTTTCAGATCAATCTTCTTACTGTACACACTGTCCTTCCCTCCCTAACCTGTCAGAGTAACATTTGATTAGCAGAGCTTGGATTATGTCTCTCTGCTGTTCAAAAACATTCAGTGGCTCTTACTGTTAGCTAAATGAAGAATAAATATCTTAGCCTAGCATCAACGGGTCCTATTTTTCTTCTATTTCCTTTTACTCACCTATATGAATCATGTGCATTTATCAACCTGGATTATTTATTATTCTGGAAAAAAGCCTCAGGGCTTTAGCTATATTCTTCTACCTGGAATCCCTTCCTCTGAGGACCAGCTCAAAAGTCATATCCCCTGTGTCTGGACCTTTCAATGATCACCTAGCCAAAATGATTTCTCCCTACTTGGGACTCTTACAGCAGCATTTAACTTGCATCACCCACACAGCAGGTACCACTTAGTACCTTATACAGAAATTCTCAATGGATTTGTCTCATCTCTCTTAATAGTCTATAATCAACTGGAGGGCAGAGACTGTGTCTCATAAAACTATGCTTGTATCCCAGGTCACAGTGTTTAATATGTCTGTTGAATCTTTTTTATTTATTTATGGTATTGAACCCTTAACACTGAGCTACATCTTCAGCTCTCTTTTTGATACAGGGTCTCAATAAATTGCTGAACTTGGCCTTTGGTTTGAGATCCTACAGCCTCAACCTCCTGAGTAGCTAGGATTATAGACATGTACCATCATGCCAGGCTGAATCCATCTTTTAAATACTAAATTCCTTTTTCTCCTACCAAACATACATACACACATACACACACACACACACACACACACATGCACATGTGTGTGTGTGTATATATATAATATATATATATATAATTTTTATATACATAAAATTATTATTTTTTTAGTACCAGGGATTGAACCCAGGGGCACTTAACTACTGAGACACATTCCCATTCCTTTTTTTTTTTTTTATATATATATATTTTATTTAGAGACAGAGTCTTGCTAAAGTTGCTTAGGGCCTCCCTAAGTTGCTGAGGCTGACTTTGAACTCATGATCCTTCTGCCTCAGCCTCCCAAGTCACCGGGAACACAGGTGTTCACCACGTGTACCACTATGCCAGCCCCAATCTAATTCTTTAGAATATCTTAAATAAAAATACTTATGAATACTCTAGTTAATCTTACTAATTCTTCCAGAGAATTCTCCAACTATCTGTCACTGCCTGCCCTAGAAGATGGAGCAGGAAGTAAGACTTTGATGCCTTTCCAGAAAGAAGAGGGCCTGAATGACATAATCCATGTGCATAAATCACCACAAATACTCTTATCCCTTATCTCATTTACACTATAAAGAGTAAGTACAAGATGGCACAGTGGTGCATGCCTATAATTCTAGCAACTTGGAAGGCTGAGGCAGGAGAATCTCCAAGTCCTAGGCCAGCTGCAGCAACTCAGAGACCCTCAGCAACTTAGTGAGACCCTGTCTCAAAATAAAAAAATAAAAAGAAAAGGGGCTGTACCTCAATGCCCCTTGGCTTCAATCCCTAGTAACAACAACAACAACAAAAAAGATGAAAAAAAAAGGTGGGGGCGGGGGGCCTGTAGGTGTTTCTCAGTGGTAATGCATCCCTGGGTTTAATCCCCAGTACTGGTAGGGAGGGAAGAAATAGAAGAAGGAAGAAAGGAAGGGAGGGACGGGGGGAGGGAGCGAAGAGTTAAGTTCAAAGTTCTGGGGGTGTAGCTCAGCAGTAGAGCATTTGTCTCGCATGTACAAGATCCTAGGCTCAATCCCAAGCAACACACACACACACACACACACACACACACACACACAAATAAGTTAAAAAATAATAAAGACAATTTTAAAAATTAAATGACCAATGTTATGCTTAAAAAGAGATTTAAATGTCCTTTATAGCCAGGCAGATCACAAGTTTGAGTCCAGCCTCAGCAACTTGGTGAGACCCTATCCCAAAATAAAAAATAAAAAAGACTGGGGATGTGGCTCAGTGGTAAAGCACCCCTGGGTTAAATACCCAGTATAACACACACATACACACACACACACACAGGTCCTTTATAATCAGAAACAGATGTATCTATGATAGTAGTATTAACAGTATTATCTCTGAGGTTAGAATTATGAAAGACTTTTCTTCTTTATGATTCTCTATATTACTTGTGTAAAATCTTTTCAGAAAGCACATGTACTTCAAGAAGTATCAAAAAAATATTTCATTTATTAAACTTACTAACCAAGAAAATATTCTTGAAGATGTTAGAAATGAATTATGTAAAATTAAACAAGCTCTAATCATAGATTTGCAAGAAATAAAAATTGTTATTATCTATTACCACTTTAAAAACTAAGCCTATTACTTGAGATATATTTTAAAGTAATACTTGTGTATAACTGCTTTGATGAAATATACAGTAAATTTTTTTTTTTTTTAGAGAGAGGGAGAGAGAGAGAGAGAGAGAGAGAGAGAGAGAGAGAGAGAGAGAGAGAATTTCTTTAATATTTACTTTTTAGTTCTCGGCGGACACAACATCTTTGTTGGTATGTGGTGCTGAGGATCGAACCCGGGCCGCACGCATGCCAGGCGAGCGCGCTACCACTTGAGCCACATCCCCAGCCCTACAGTAAATTTTAAACATTTTAGACTTAAATATCAAACACACGTTTAAATTGGAGAGACATTCATCTTTATTGTTTTTCTACTTACAAAAATAATACAAGTTTATTGTTTAAAATTCAAACATTACAGAAATATATAATGTAGATAGTGAAAGTACACCATAATCTACTATCCCTCCCTGAGATAACCAACATTAACAATTTGGTATTTATAGCCTCACTTTTTTATATGCATATGCTCACATGTATATGCTTTAACAAACATATAAATAGTCATTAACAAGAAACTGTTATACAATTTGCTTTTCTTCCCCATTTCTGTCTTATATATCCATCCATATCCGTACATACAGATGACTTCATTCTTTTTAGCAGGTACAGAGAATTTAATTTCATGGATGTATTCCAGTCCCCTATTGATAATTACTTGGATAACTTCAAAGACATCACCGTTATGAGTAACACCAAAAAAATTCAATTATACATCTGTGTAGTGTGTGTGCATAAAGACACCAAAAATTATAACTTCTAGATCAAAAGGTATGAACATACAAATTTTTCTTTTAATATATATTATCAAATTCTTCTCTAAGCAAGGTGGATAAATGTATGCTTTCCAACAGTACAAGTTAGGTATGACTCTACTTACATCCGTACATCTTCACATATCTTGTTTTTATAAGCAAAAATTATTTAAATAGAATATTTAAATATTCTGGTCACAACATTATAGAGACTTAATAGGTTATAAACAAACATGTTTTTACACTCCCTGTAAATTCTTAGACTGAAAGGAAACTACAGGAACAACTCACTTCTCAAATTATTTCTCAGTATAATGAATTTGCTCTAAAATAAAAAGTTATTCCCATATCTGGAGAAGCTACTGCTGTTAAAAAGCATGCTCACCACCCTAGTGGTTTCTATCCTGACAGAAAATTAGGACCCCTCCAACCCCTTGGAGTTCACTGGTTTTACTTTCTTTTTTTCATTTTAGAAAACTTATATCTGTAGCCCTGAAATAAATTACACAATAGTTGGTATCAAAAATAACATTTGCGGGCTGGGGATTGGCTCAAGCGGTAGCGCGCTCGCCTGGCATGCATGCGGCTCCGGTTCAATCCTCAGCACCACATACAAACAAAGATGTTGTGTCTGCGGAAAACTAAAAAAATAAATTAAAAAATTCTCTCCCTCTCTCCCTCCCTCCCTCCCTCCCTCTCCCTCTCCCCCCCCCTCTCTTAAATAAAATAAAATAAAATAAATAACATTTGCTATGCCCTCCTTTTGGTCAGTAGTTAAAGTACTGTTGATACAAGTCAGAATATTGGAAAGAAAAAAATAGAGGACAGGTCACAAAGAAAAGCCATGCAGAGTGTGTCATTATTAAATGTTGGAATGAAAGAAGCCGAACCTGCAAAAAAAAAGGACTGCTCACAAATGGAAACTTGAAGGAATAAAATCTTGCCAGCAAACTAGAAGAAAATTACTTGGTATTCTAGAAATCTGTGAACCCTGATAATATTAGCAATCTCTTTATAGCTGTAAAGTTATTTGGGCTTACAGTGTGCTTTCACATTCACTAAATCTCATTTAACCCTCACCACAACCCTGGAAGGCATTAGTATTCCAATTTTACAAATGAGAGAGGTCAGCTCCCTCAGATGTGAGGATATTGCTCCCCAACCCCAACACACACATATATTCCCCTCAATTACATGCACTCACACCACCAGGCTACTCAAAGTGTGGCCCAAGTAAGACAGCTTGGGCATTACTTCAAAGCTTGGTAGAAATGCAGAGTCTCAGGGTGAGCCTGAGTCTGCCTTTTGGCAATACTTCTGCCCCACTCCCACCCCAGCCCCAGGGGCCTACCCATTAATTCTTGAGAAGCCTTGTTCACCAGTCAGTTCTGAGTTTGTTATGAGGCAAAGTCTGTGATAGCTGCAGTACAGTCCTCACAAGAGAGACCCAGCAGTCTGGGGAGGAAGGGCATCATAAGCAGAAAGAACATTGTTAGAGAAGTCTGCAGTAGGTTATTAAGTCATATGAAAACAATCATGATGTGCAAATACTGTCCTCTGCAAATTGAAAAGCCAACAATGAGTGTCAAGGTAGCAGAGGAAGGCCTACCTGCCTGCTGCAAATTTAATTCTGACAAGCAGCTGCTTGCTTTTCTCTAAGGTAGGAGCTGGGAGGTGGCAAGAGTTGGGTTTTTTTTTTTAACATGCTCCACCCTCCTCCCTCCTTGCCAACTATAGCAAACTACCGTGAGCTGCCCGCCATCCAAACCACTTGGCTTAGGGCTTCCTCTGCTCAGGGCAAACTGAGGCAGTGCAGGGAAGCAGGCCTTGAGATCCCATGCTTTTGTACTATACCATGAAATCACATTTCTTGAGAGAAGAAATCAAAATAATTCAAATTTGAAACCAGGTGAAGGCAAGGCACTTGCTCAAGAACTTTGCAACCCTGGAGCCCACACAGCCCAAAGGAGTCAGGTGGGCAAGTGACCTTATTTTTATGTACGTTCAAATTCACTGAACCCTAACTGTCATAAACCAGATCAGTTCCTAGTATGGAACATTTTAGAACCTCTCCTATCCACACAGAAAGAGGCATTTTGATCCAGGTACTCTCCACAGCTTCAAAAACAAGGTCAGTTGTGAGCTGTAAAGATAACAAAGAGGTGGAATTCAGAGGGAATAGGTCTAGGATAGACTAGCAACTAATCAAGAGCATAAAGTACACAATCAACTTGCCAACCAAGCCACCACAGATTAAAGCTCAGTAATACACCCACACACAAAACTAACCAAGTCATCTGTAGGTCTTCAATTCACTCCCCATACAACTCCAACAGAGAAGCAGCAACTTCTTGTAACTTATAGTCATTTAGAACCACGCAGCTGCACCCCATCGACTTGATTCAAATTCCCACAAAACCACAAGTTGCATGGTTCCTAATAGTACCACAGTGTGGCTCAATGGTTAAGCACCCCTGAGTTCACTCCCAGGTAAAAAAAAAAAAAAAAAAAAACCCAAAAAACAAAAACAAAACCTAAGAGTACCACATAACAAGAAGTGGGGGAAACAGTTCAGGAAATTTGGAGGTGGAGATGAGAAAGAAGCAATATAGAGTAACAGGAATTACTGAATGATGGCTCTAAAATAAGTATAAGAATTTAAATTGAGTTCTATGGAGAATAGTGAAGAAAAAGTATATTTTTTAAAGGAAATACCTTTTCCTAAGCTGAATGTAGGAGATGACTCTTGGCTACAGCAATTCAAGGCATATTTTTGTGCTCAGTGCAATATTTTGAACCTAAATCCTCCCTAGGAAGATAACTGAATAAGTGTGGGTGGGCTTTGGAGTTAGGAAAGCCTAGGTTGAATTCCAGCTTGGCCATCTACTAATTGTGTAACCATCCTCTACTCACCTGACCTCTCCTATCATCACTTTCTTTATCTACAAAAATGGGATTATGGTAGAGTTGAGTAAAATTTGAATAATACATGTAAAATGCAAAGCACAGTACCTAGTACATAGCAAAATAAATCTTAATTATTATTACCACTGCAAATACTATTATTCCTATTATTAGTAGTACAAATACACTGCCAATTGCCTAACAAAGGTTGGACATGGTGGTTCATACTACCTGAAAACACTGAATGGCATAAATGGACATAGTTGGGAAAAGAAACTTGAAAAACAAAATATCAAAATCAAGTCCTTAGGTATATTAATTTTTTAAAATAAGTCATCTTGAGGCTGGGGGTATGGCTCAGTAACTCAGTGGTAGAATACTTAACTAGCATGTGCAAGGTCCTGGGTTCAATCCTCATTTGAATTCAATTCACACACACACACACACACACACACACACACACACACACACACCCCATTTTGATTATGTAAGATAAAACCTCATTTTTATTTTCAAACACCTTGACGACACTATTAACATCATATCTTTCAGAAGCTGCAAACACCTTGGCATTGTTCTATTTTTTTTTAACTTGGATGGCTGTAAACATAGAAGAACATTTAAAAATTATTCATAATATAATATTACATTTCATAAACTTTCTTATGTGTAATATTTTGTAATTTTTTAAAGTTTTATTTTTAAGTGCCAGCACCTTTAAAAGGGTCAATTGAACTTATGGAGAAAAGATCAGAAGCACTCTAAAGGAAAGTAGACCTCAAAAACTGATAAGAGGGCTGGGGATGTGGCTCAAGCGGTAGCGCGCTCGCCTGGCATGCATGTGGCCCGGGTTCGATCCTCAGCACCACATACAAACAAAGATGTTGTGTCCACCGGAAACTAAAAAAATAATAAATATTGAAATTCTCTCTCTCTTAAAAAAAATTAAAAAAAAAACTGATAAGAAATGATGATGAAAGTTAGTAATTACTTCAAGTTTGGTATAAATGAAAAGCAAAATTCAAATCCCGGAAGAATGCAGGGGTTATATATAGCTCAGTGGTAGGTCACTTGCTAGAATGCACAAAACCCTAGGGTTCAATTCCCAGCACTAGGAGAAAAAGAAATCTGAAGAACTAAAGAAGGAATCCTCCTTCTCAGGATTCCTCCAAAAGAGCAAAGTTGGGGGGAAAAATCAGCCATATGGTTTCACAAAAGGCTGTTACAAGATCTTCAAGTAAATTTAAATTTCAACTCTGAATGACTTTAGCTTCACCTCAGTTTGAGGGAGAAAGATGAGATGTGTAAACTTAGAATTCAGTCTTAAAAAAACCTGTTTTGTAGACTAGGAAAGCAATAAAAACAAAAACAAAAAAAGCATTACAAATATTCTCTGTGATAAAGACAGAAGTCTAAGAGGAGACCTACACTATAAAATCATTTGTCTGTAAGTGTTCTTCTAAACCAAAGGAAAATACTGTGCTCGCTTCGGCAGCACATATACTAAAATTGGAATAATACAGAGATTAGCAATGGCCTGTGCTCAAGGGTGACACACAAATACTTGAAATGTTCCATATTTTTACCCCCACAATTAAAGTTGAAGGAATTCTGAACAGTTTATTAAAAAAAAAAAAAAGGAAAATACTGTGGTCAATTAAGAAGCACTATAGATGTGCTGCTATAACCACTGGAAGGAAGGAAAGATTTGGAAAATCTGATCAAAAATACCAACCCTAAACTAGGTGTGGTGGAGTATGCCTGTAATCCCAGTTACTCAGGAGACTGAGGCAGGAGTATACAAAAGTTTGAGGCCAGTCTCAGCAACAAAACCATTTCAAAAATAAAAACAGGTCTGGGGGTGTAGCTCAGTGGTAAAGTGCCTCTTGGTTTAATCCCCAGTACCACAAAAAAATAAAAATAAAAAAAAAAAACCCTAAAGATCCACACTGCCCAGGTCTGACTGTCATATTCAATATTATTATCCCCCCAAACACATGCCCTTTTTTTTTTTAATTTTAAGATGCAAGAGAAGGTAAAATCCATTAATAGGGTTAGTTAACACCCAAAAAGGGAGTAATTCTCATTCTATACCTCTACTAAGAACTGCTGTGAAAAGAAAACTGGCAGAAAACCTGGACTTATCTTGCTTTAAACAATGAATCCCAAAGGAGAGGCTTAATTTGTAGCAATGGGAATGCCATGTATAATATAACAAATCCTACTGAAAACACTGTAGCTTTTTTCCCCTTAACAACAATGCAGTCTGACCATGAAGGAAAACCAACAGAAATGCTGAGAACAGTAGGACAGACTACGTTCTCAGAGAAGTTTAGTGTGAATAAACACAGTCCCAAATTTCAAGCCCTGGATTGCTCTTCAAACAAAGGGCAGTGATAACAGTCACAAGCCCAAATGTGAGATTCTAGGGGTTGGTAAGAAGATTGCAGAGGTCAGGCTAAAGCCTCACATATACCTGTGTTTTTCATTAGTCAAGAAATGAAAACACATGTGGAAGACAAACGGAAGACAGAAGTGAAATCAGAGAAATACCAAGGTCCCAAAGACATTCAAGATACCGGCAGGAAGTAAGACAGGGGAACTTGCCCTAAATTGCAAAGTGAGAGAGGGAAAATAAACTTGGAAAACTATGAAATGAGTGAGGCCAAGTAGATGTAGGAAGCCTCCAAAAAACAATCCAGAACTTCAAGAGGCTGGAATACTTTTAGTCAGTAAAGGAAGAGAGGTGTTGTTGGGTCCAGGGAGGGAATTCTCTTTCTGATGAGAATCATTTTGAAGACTGAAGGCAGCTGCAGGCGCCGGAAGGAAGATGAAACAAAGATCAAACAAAACCAGGAGAACACCGAAACTTTTCATGGTAAACCACCTGTTCCAAGGATCTTAAGACACTCCACAAGCTTAATTCAAGAACACATCAGAGGGCTGGGATTGTAGCTCAGTGGAAAAGCGCTTGCTTAGCATGTGTGAGGCACTGGGTTCAATCCTCAGTACTTCATAAAAATAAACAAACAATGGGCTGGGGCTGTAGCTCAGTGGCAGAGCGCTTGTCTAGCATGTGTGGGGCACTGGGTTCAATCCTTAACACCACATAAAAGTAAAAATAAAATAAAGGCATTCTGTCCATCTACAACTACAAAAAATAAATAAATAAACAAAAGAAAGGTATTGTGTTCATCTACAATTAAATGTTAAATATATATATTAAAAAAAAACACATCAGAGACAGAAAATGTGAACTTGACCTAACGTAACTCAACAAAGGACAGTGAGAGGCTGGCCACAGGGGCTTCTGCTCCTGATCATGTATTCTAGGTGGGGAGCCTGGAGAATTTGTATCAAACACTAAAACATGATGGCACACATCAATTTCAGCGGCTCTGGAGGCTAAGACGAGTTCAAAGCCAGCCTTGCAAAAGCAAGGTGCTAAGCAACTCAAGGAGACCCTGTCTCTAAATAAAAATACTAAATAGGGCTGGGGATGTGGCTCAGTGGTTGAGTGCCCTGAAGTTCAATCCCTGGTACCAAAAACAAATAAACAACAACAACAATAAAAACCTCTAAAACACTGTTGGTTCCTATGGGTTCTAGGGGAAGTGGGTAGTGGAATGGTGAGAGCAATGACTGGCCAGGACTCCCGGATATCATCATAAAGTTTCTTACTACTACTCACAAGGGAAATTCCTGCTGTTTTGCCTTAGTAAGGCACTGATCAGCTCCTCACATCTGACCTCACAATGCAAAGTTCTATCAAACTGATCCCTGACAAAGCAGTTTGTGAGTAATCTGTCTAGAAGACACAGAAGAGATAAAAACTACTCAAGGAAGAAAGTATACTTACTGGGCTAGCTTGATATACTTTCAGAAAGAAGTCTCAGTGAGGAATTGGATATGAAGAAACAGATCTTAGGATCCTAGCATCGAGTCCAAGGTTTCATAACCAGCAGTGGGCATCAGATGAAACTTAATATTTTATGCAACTACCAAACACCGCCCTCAGAAGTTCTGATTCCACAGAGCTAGGATGGGCCTCAGGAATGTATATTTTAAAATGTTACAAATATTCTGATGCCTCATGGCCTTTCTAATCGTTTCCCAAGTTGAGAGCCATTAAGCTAGAGCTAATGATTCACATGCTTGGAAAATGATTAAGTTCCCTCTCCCAAATAGATTAAAGAATTCAATACTAACATCTAGGCGTAAACATTGAACAAAAGCTGCAATTAGATTACTGCCAATCTTTTCTCCTTCATAAAACCCACCTACACAAACTCTTCTTAGAGCCACATATTAAAAAGATCAAAGCACCACCGTATAATCATGTTGGGTGGGGGAAGGGAGAAAGAGAGCACGCTTGAGAGTGAGGAAGGAAGGAATAGATTTACAATCATAAAAACAGAACTAAAAGAAAGTCCCCCTGCCCATTGTTTCCAGCAGAATAATATATAACCCAGACTGGATTAATAGCTATTAACAAGGAATATTTCAAAACCTCCCTCACTTATTTTTTCAAAATTTAACAAATCTCCAGCACTGGTAATCTTTTTGTATCCCTAACTTAAATCTTGCCTGCTCTGCTTCAGTCCATTTCTGTGCTTTGTTTAAACAACAACAACAACAACAACAACAAAAAAAACAATTCCGCTCCCTCCATATAAAAATCATTCAGTAACTTTAGAGTGGGAGGGTTAGTTACCAAGAGCATAGACATTTGCTTCTTACAGAAAACAGCCTCAACTGAGATGACAGGCAAGAACTGACAAATGTACAGGATTTAAACTTGAAAGGTATTTATAACTAATAACTTCCATCTATACTTTATCAAGACTCAGCAGATAGATCTGGAACAAAACTTCAAATCACCCTTTTTCAATTTACTCCACTGAAGAGACTTTCCTCCCTTTAAAAACCTTATAAATATCTCAACTCTCATCTACTCTTTGTAGTAATTTAAATCCCCACCTCTACTGGCTTTCTCGTTTAAACTATATATTTAATTTAAATATAAGTTGTTGGTTATTTTTGGTAGCAGGGATTATACTCAGGGGTGTTTTACCACTGAGCCACATCGCCAGCCCTTTTTATTTTATTATTTTTTTATTCTTAATTTTTTTTGGCTGGACACAATATCTATTTTTTCTTCATTCATTTATTTATTTTTAAAATATTTATTTTTTAGTTGGACACAATATCTTTATTTATTTTTATGTGGTGTTGAGGATCAAACCCAGGGCCTCGCATGTGCTAGGAGAGCACTCTACCGCAGAGCCACAACCCCAGCCCCTGGCCCTTTTTATTTTGAGACATCATCTCCCTAAGTTGCTAAGGTCAGCTTTGAATGTGCTATTCTCCTGCCTCAGCTTCTCAAGCCCCTGGAATTACAGGTGAGGGCTTCCTGTTCAGCTTAATCACATTTTAACCATATGTATATGGTTAAAATCAAATCTAACCATATGTATATGGTTAAAATCAAACCCACTGCCTCATACATGCTAGGCAAGCGGTCTACTATTGAGCCGCAACCCCAGCCCTCTTATATCCTTTTCAACTAAATAGGCACATATTAAAAGGCTCAAAGCACCACCATAGAATCTCTTACTTCTTTTCACTTACTTGAATCTCTTCTTTTTCATCATTTTATTATTCCTAGTTTTGATTTCTCTTCTAAAAAGGTCATAAAGCCTCCTGATCATTTTTTATTCTTCTGTACTTATTAGACATGTTTAAACTATTCTCATTCATTTACTCCTTTAATATTTACTACATACTGTACATACTATATACACTGTCCTAAACAGTGTGATGTAAAAGAAATAAAGAACATGATCCCTGACCTTAGGAAATGAAGACATAAATAAAAGAGCAGAAATTGATTTCAAGGTAGTGAGACTAGTCCAAAAAGGCCCTGTGTCTTTGGAAAATATGGAGATGATTCTAAAAGTAATACAGAATTTGATGAAAAGGAGTAAGAAAGCAACCTTAGAACAGTATTATTCAAAGCAGGAGACCACCTAAGGTAAGAGCTGTATAAAGATCCTGACATTGCCCCCTCAAAAGAGGCTTGTCTTTTTGTCTTCAAATTTTATTTCAGAATTAGTTATCCTTGAGCCACAAGTTTTCTGTTACTGATTACCCACAGCCACCATATATTAGAGCAACTCATGAATTTAACAGACTAGGTCCTATGTGGGTTACCACAAAGCAGGCTTTTTAGAATAATCTTAGGCAAAGATCCTTTGCTAAGGAGTGTGGGGAGGTACCCAAGAGGCATCTTGGGTACTAGATAACCAAAAACTGTTCATACTCTTGGGTGTATAGCACTCTTCCTTTGTCATATCATTCAAGGGTCACTCAATTTTTCATAAATATTCCCTTCATACTTAGGTTTAGGACAGACAAAAGCTTTAAAGCAGTCTGAAGTACTGAATTGATATTAGAAACAGAGATGTTTAATGGTGATCACAGAGATGTCCCCTTTTTTTCAGTTTTCCTGGAAAGCTCTTCTCTTGACTCAGGAGTTATGATTCAAACAACCCCTCCTCTAAGATGTCTTTCCTAATTCCCCTAAACTGACTTATAGTCTGACGCTGTGCTTCATTAATAATTTACTGCATACTTCTAGAAAATCCCCTATAATTATTTGTTTACATGTTTGAATAGTCACAAGTTCTCTGATGGTAAAGCTAGTGTTTTATTCATCCCTGACTCTATACCTAATAGGACTAAATAAACACTTGTTGACTACATTAATGATGAATGACAGTTTTAAACAATGGTGATGGTACTATCTGGATTCCAGACCAAAACTGCAGTAAAGTATTCACACTGAAAACTAAACTTCCATTATATATTTCTGCCATATATTCCATTCCTGAAGATTGTTCTAATAGTTCTGATCACTGCCAAGTTACTGGCCATGAAGATGAGTATCTGCAGTATTAAGAATGAGCAAAAAGTGTCATATCTAAGACAATTTCTAACTTTCAGGTTCACTCTCCTGCCTCTAGAAAATAGGAACAATGATAATTAAGAGTTCTTTAAAAATCCAAGTATGGTGGTCTGCACTTACAGTTCCAGCTATTCAGGAGGCTGAGGCAGGAGAATTGCTTGAGTCCAGAAGTTAGAAACCAGCTTGGGCAACAGGCAAGAACCCATTTTTCGTTTGTTTGTTTGTTTTTTTACCAGAGATTGAACCTAGGGTGCTTAATCACTGAGCCACATCCCCATCCTTGTTTATTTTTTATTTTGAGACAGAGTCATCCTAAATTGCTGAGGCTGGATTTGAACTTTCAATCCTCCTATTTCAGCCTCCCAAGCTTCTGGGATTATAGGAATGTACCATCCGACGCTGTGTGAGAACCCATCTTTTAAAAAAACAAACAAAAAAAGGACTTAGAAGGATCACTATCTACACCACCATGGAACGTTGAGGCAAATTTTTATTCACTATATCCCCTGCTGAAACATAAAGAAAAGCTGCTGTTCACCTTATTCAAATCCAATTAAGGTTCTGCTAAGGGACAGGGGTCTGACAGGGGTCTGAACTGAGTCCTCCCAGAACCCTGTCATGTTGTACATCAGCACTCTTAACTCATTCACCAGGTTTACTCATCTCTCACAGTCAGGCAAGGTAATAAAATGCTACTGTCTCAAATGACTCTCCCTGTAGCAATCCTGTACCACACAAGCCTATTGTGTTTACAGGCTGCTAATAAGACACACAATTTAATCTGATCCTGTGGGAACAAAGACATAGATTCCCTTGAGGGAGTAAATAAATTTAGTCTATTTTTGTATTACCAAAGTTGTGGGGTTTAACAAAGTTGAATAAAGCATAAGGACCAAAATCCAGACAAGTGATGGGATGGAAAAAAGGACTTTGCCTCTGGGAACCACTTGGCTCTTGGCATACAGTGAATGGGATAAGCAATATCAAGGGCAAACTAAGAGAACTGTTTTTGCTGGCACATATGTGGCTCCTTGCATGTTATCATTCCTAAGAAGGCCAAGACACTCCAGTTAATTAATTAGGTCTCTTAAAGAAATAAATTTGTTTTGACCCCAGATAAGAGCAATTACCAGACTAATATTTCAGAAAAGGTGCTTAAGATGTTAAGGTATTTCCTTCTGTTACTACAGTCTTACATAAACCCAGCTGTCAATACTGCAGCCACATTAGTCACACAGGGTATGTAGTTCCATTAGTCCCTTCCAAGAAGGGAAACTGAGTCATAGTATATCAACTAGCTTCCAGAAGCAAACACTTAGTTTGTAGTGAGATCATAGTTGAACTCACCTTCCTACTATTCACCTCTTTTCATGGATGAATCTCAGCACTGCCTACCCACACCACTCTTTTTCCTCCAACCCAAAACCAAATCACTGCCTGCTTGAGAGGCAGAGGCCTGCATATTTGATCTTTTAGAGCCAACAGGAGTGTCTAGCTCTCTTCTTTACCAAGAAAGAAGAAGGTGAAATAAGAACATGGAGCAAGGAGAAGATAAAGAGATGGAAAGAGGGTGGCTATGACTCACCTTGGAGCTGAGGTCCTCTCGCCTGTTTCCTGCCTTACTCCTGCGTAATTTGATGGATGGGGACCGCAGCAGATTCTTAATCCGGCTGGTAATGGTTGACCCTTCCACGGCCATCATGATGAGGAGCCCGGTGGGACAGTCCCTGTCCAGTCTTGGGACCTATCTCAACTGTTGGACTGCCTTCTCACTCCAAACAGCCTTCCAAAATGACCTCTCACTGGCCTGAGATGGCAGAAGCCACCTCAGCATCACAGTAGGTGTCTTCTGCCTACCTGTCTGCCACTCTTATCCCTAGGTATTGCCCTCCCCTTTTCCTTCATCCCCACCTTTAAGCCCTGCGTGGTTTCTTACAACGTGAGAAGGAGCTACACGAAAGGGGCGGGGGGGACCCTGAACTGCGAACAGATGCCAGGCCCACGCCTGCGAGAGGCGTTTAACTGGAGAATGGGGCAGATTCTAGTAGAACTACTGGCAGGTATGTTCTCCGTTAACGCCGAACTGTTCCCATGGAAACTGCACTGTTCAGAGGAGGCGGCCAATGGGAGGTTCACGGGGGACCGGCTGGCGGTTGCGAGGACACGATGTGGCTGGGCTCGTGATGGCCCTGCAACTCGTTCTGCTAAGGGAGCCTCCCTCCCCCACCCCCGACCCTCAGGAGCTCGCTCTCCGCCCTCCACAACCGCCTAGACTTTTCTTTCACCCGCCTCAGAAGCCCCTGCTACTCGTCAGCGCCCCCGCTCGGGCCCAGCCTCACCAGCCCCGGGGCTCGAGGGCTGCCCGGCTCACAGCGCCCTCAGGCATCGCGCTCGGCGATTTCAGCTCCGCTGCGGCCGCAACAGCAGCAGCTATGGTGGCACGAGCGGCTCAAAACGCGAACTAGCGCTTGGGCCAAGCTAGGGACTGGGAAGGAGGAGCCGACGCAAGGGGGTGCGGTCTGTAGCCAGGAGGTCGTTTCGCGACTGGACAAACCAGGCTTGCGGGGGCGGAGCCAGCGAAAGACCTAGGAAGACAAGGACTCGGGACTGGAGAACTACGGATTCTGCACAGTATAATTGTTAGGTACCGCTCTTAGAAGAAGGTCAACAGAACACGGCTTCAGAATTGAGAGAACCAGGCCTTTTATGGTATTATAAGCCTGATGCCCTAGAGAACTGCACTTCCCAGAGCCCCAAGAATATAACCACGCCCCCAGAGTGCTAACGTTGGCTTTTGATAGGCCGGAGGGACCGTGGCTGAAACAAACTAGCTCAGAATTACAAGGCTGAGATACAGCCAAAAAACTCGGCTCCCATCCCACCCCAAACGCTAGGATTTAAAGCGGTTCCAATAGTTTCTGATCACGGCCAATCTAGTGCTTGGCCCACGTGTTAAAGATTCCTCGGAGTAATCCAACTCAAACGCTAACAACAGGATTTCATCTGGGCAAGCTGATTGGTCGTGATGGAAGAAAGGGGAGGGAGACAGAAACTTCGAATACAGCTTTAGGCGAGCCAAGAGTGAAACCAAGTCAATTAGTTTATGGGATTTGTTTGTGTCCTGTAGTGCTCTCCCCGCAGTTAACCAGGCCTGTGTTATTCCAGATGTTTCCCTCGGTCCTGTCAAGTTTTACTTGTGAATACTACCCCCTCTTCCCCAGGGATACTTGCCGAGATCACTGTGAAGCCTTCTTGGACTGTTTGGTGGTAGTTTCTCCTGCTCATGGAGGTGAGGGGAACACATGGAAATATCACTACGTATTCCTATTTCATAGATATATAAGCCAAACATTTATTCTCTAGAAGCCCTAGAATTCTCCACCTTGATTACTACTTCAAGAAACTACCTTATAAAAAAGTTAGCCTAAGTCAGAAGACTTGGACCTGAGGAATAGTAGTACAGTGTCTCACCCTATCCAGATCTTTGGGATTCCTGAGGAAGATTATATATTAGCAAGAAAGACGACTAAACAATGGGTAGACCTGGTACAACCAAATGGCAAAGCAGGAGGTGTTGCGTATACTTTGGCCACAAAAACAAGATTCATAAAAGTTCACAGGTTGACATGGACAGGAAAGATGTCACCCCTTGTAACATCTCACTGGCAATAGATTGAGTCAGGCCTTCTACCCTTCAACAATGCATTGTAGATCTAATGAAACTAAAATGGGACTTTCCCAAAACTGGAAAAAGGAGGTAAGAAGCATTAGCCTTAACTGTACAAACAGGTGGTTGACTCCAGAAACACCTTGCCAGTCTGTGCTTGGACTTTTCCACAAAGCTAATTAACACTGCTAATAAATGGTGCCACCTGGTGTTTTTTACTTGTGTGCAGCCAACCCTAGCAACTTCCACTTCTATCCATGAAACAAGAAAAAAGTGTGCCCACAGTTATTCATAATTCTCTCCAGGTCATTTTTGGGTCCACTAACAGCTTTCTCACCTACCCACTCATGGCCAAATAAAGGGTTTATGAAGTGTCATTGGTTATTTCTTATCTAAAGCTACTTCAGTTTAGTTTCAGAGAAAAGGTTCTCTGAATTGTTCTCATTTTAAATTGAAGCTGCACTGGCAAAGCTCCTGCTTTTCTTGTCTGAGATGATCTACTAAGATGATCCTTTTTTAAGATAAAATACAACTGAGAACAGTGTAATGAGAGGATGGAATCTGGAAACTTCCAAAGCCCCAAATCACATTTTTAATTCTTCACAATTCAAGCCAACCTTTATTGTCCAAGTACCATACCACCTTTTGAGATGCCAATATGGAAATAAGTGTAGGCTGTTCACATGCTTCATGAAATCCTTAGAAAACAACACTCCCATGGCAGGGGCTGTAGTTCAGTGGCAGAGCGCTTGCCTAGTATGTGCGAGGCACTGGGTTCCATCCTTAGCACCATATAGAAATAAAATAAAGGCATTTTGTCCATCTACACTATATAAAAAAAAAATCCCAGGTCCAGTATGAATATCAGTGTTACTCCCTTATCTCTCCCCTTAAATACTTGTCATCCCAACTCTCCAAAATGCAGTTGTCTCTTTATATAAAAAGTATTTCGTTGTCCATACACTATTTCACTATTCATTCTCCTTGTATATGTACTAAATCTGTATGCATGTTTGTCATATTCTAAAATTCTAGATGTCTGGGAATAAATGTTATATAGTTGTCTTGTTTAGCATTATGCTCTTTAGATGCAAGCTGTATATTCACCCTAGGCAAGTAAGGGGCAATTAAATGATTCTGGAAAACTTAACAGGCTAAACATTTGCTAATCAACTCAAATTTATTGAGCACCTTTACATGCAAGGCACTGTGAGACAGCTGAGACCAAAGACTGCAGTTGGAAAGGGGATAAATTTCAAGACAATGCTTCCAATGCTGCTTTCCTATTCAACAAAAATCTCTTCTACCAGAAGTTTACAATAAAATTTAATGGTTTAGCCTTAGCACCCTCCACACTCACCTCCATCACTATTAATATTTATGTGCCTTTGTAGAACAGTTCAGTCATTTTCAATATATTACAGTTGTCCCGGTTTAAAAATATAAATAATTTCCTTTTATTTCAAATATGTATTTTAACTGTTTTTGTTCAACTGACAGTAAGTCTAACTTCGCTTTAATTTTCCATGCACCAGCCGTTCATGCCCATTTAAAATTTATTTCCTCATAGTACTTTCTCCAAAACCAACATTTTGTGCAAGAAAAGTATTGATTCTTGGTTTATTAGTCATTCTTCATAGAAGTACCTGAAATGTGCTACCTACATGGTGTATAGTTGTTGTGTTTGTTTGTTGTTTGTTAATTCTGGGAGTGAGGGACAAGGGTAATCATTATTTTCTAGACCTGTCTTCAAAGTGCATTTAACTCTCAATTCATCCCACCCCATTCCATTTCAAATATCTCAATCAGTACAGTTAAGGAAAAAAATATATACTAATAAACACTGTCAAAAATAACACATGGATTGTCTGCCTTTGTCCTATATTCAAAATATTTTCAAGCCTGTTACAGAAAGATCTAGCATCAGGTATTTCATCCATAATTCTCGGAAAAGCAACTGCATTTATTATAAAATTATACAAAGTAAGTAATCTATATAAAGCTTGTATTACTGAACTTGATCTGTTAGAGACCTCTTAAATAGGAGTAGCTCAACTTCTAAAGAATGCCTTTAATAAAACATTTTGTAATTATCAAAGTAGTCATAGTATCTTGCCTCAAGAATACTTACTGTCCTTAGCTACTTAGATTGTTGTTTTATGTCCTGTTATTTCCCAAGGTAACAAATTGCCTTTGCACAAAGTATTAGGCTAGCCTTCTTCACTGTAGAATGACTTCTGAAACAAATATTTGCTATCAGGTTGTACAAAATTTTGAAGCCTCCATGTATGACAGACATACTACAAGGATTAGAATAATAAACCTCCCCCAAATGGCATGTCAAAAACTTTGCAAACAGGAAGAAATTCCCATTAAAAAAAACTACTTTGAAGATACCTGCTCTTAAATAGGTCTCAGGGCATTAAGAATTATATACTCCAACTCGGCACAAACCTCCCAACACCAAGTACTGCTTTCATTAGTACAACTAATTTATTTCAGGCTTACACATCCTGCCCTTTAATTGCCAAACAACTTCTATTCTTGTTTCTAAAAAAATAGTCACTTTCAAAAGCAGAAAAGGAAAGATATATATATATATATATATTTAATATATAAAAGAAAATGCTAAATCTGACATAATTATATTCTTAAAAACATTCCATTTATTTACAGTTGTATAAAAAGGCGAATTATTGGTCTACTGAGATCATGCTTCTTATAAGAGTTAGGGTGAGAGCTCACTGTCTTCCAGGTTCCTCAACTCTTCTCTTTCAACTTCATCTTTCATAATCACACGTGTAATTTTCATAGATCAGTTTTTCCTAGGGTAAGGTGAAAGGGTAAGCATTTTTGGAGATTTCAGATTGCTACCAAAACTGCAGGTTTGTTCTGAAGACTGAGCTCTCCTCAAATTAGCTCTGTCTTAAGAACACTGTGTCTTGGCGCTTGTGGGGATTGTAATGACATCTGTAGTTTTCTCTGAACACCGGGAATTATCCCTCATTTCTGTCTTTTTCACCTCATATAAGCACAGCCAAATATCCTTTAATCAGGAACTGACCTTGGCCCATCTGCCTATTTTCTTCTAAGGAAGGGAAAGTGTTCAAAAGCTTAAATGGTCCTTCTTTTCCTGAGGATTACTCACTCCCTTGCTTGCTCCTTGGCTGACCCTCAAAAGCCTTGGGAAGTCAGGAGGAAATGTGGGGATGAGACAACGAAATAATGGGAAACTGCTATACCCAGGTTAAAGAACTGGCATCTCCAAGAACAATTTTTAGGAAGGAAGACAGGGGCTGGACTCCTTGGCTAAGGCATTGGATGATATCTGTTGGGTAAAGAGTAGAAGAAATAATGAGGAGCATTCTTTTAACTACTTCAAGCTTCTTCAGCAATGAGTGAAGGTTAAGCGCCGATAAGCAGGTCTAGAAAGGCAAGCAGCACAAAACCAACAAAGAATTTGCCCCAGGGCACTTCGCAGAGTAAATTTTCCCATCCTTTTCAATCTGTTGATTACCAGAGTTAATAGAAAAGGAATCAATATGGAAGTAATAATTCACTGGCTAGATCCAT